GTGTTGGAAAGGGCCAGGGCTCATAACCTATTAATTTACAACCAAGATTTTTTTCTAATGTATGCATAGCCAAGGGAAGCAGTCACAGCTATGTTGGCAGACCAGTTTGTATTAAATCCTCTCAATGAAAATGTTAATACTCAATGATGCATACACAGATGTATATATGGATCATTAAGTATATGTACATATTAACACATATTTATATACACACACATGGGTGTCTCTACATAAATATATATTGATCACCAGAGACAAACTTAATGGTCCCCATCCATATATGAGTGTCTGCACACACACATGTATAATGAGTCTACTAGAATGATAGCAAAGCCTTACAGGACCGTGAAGCAGAAAGGTTATTTCTGTTTACATAGGTTTATAGAGATGCTTAGCTCAGTAGATGAAGTGGCAGGGATAATAATTATGAGTAAGAGCTGGAACAACATAAAGACCTTTTCTGGCCCCACAAAAGCATCTTGTCTCTGATTTGAATGGTATAGATTAGCAATTACTGAGAAAATACTAGAAGGGGAATACAACTGGATTCCTTTTCACTGGTGGACTACCTCAGGCAAGTAACATCCTGCACCTATGACTTGTCAACACAGAAACGTTAGACCCAACCCATGAAAGCAAAATCGTAAAAGACGTACCAGTCACCAGCAAGGGCTGCAGCACAGAAGTTAGAACACTGTACATTTCCAAAAGACTAGTGCTTTCTAGTCACTCATTGGGTCACCGTAGAATGTGCCAAACCCTTCAGCCTTATCCATTTGAGTTATTTTCCTAAAGGACACCTTTTTTTTTGTTGTACGGTTGTGCCAAACACTGCAATGTGCTTTAACACACACCTGCTGAAGTGCTATGACACTGAGGGAGCGGAACTGACCGTCTTGTCAGATGAGATGGGTGTCAAAATAACTGTGAAAGGAACCACAGGAGCAGATGGTCAGCCAGGAATGGAGAATGGAGAGTAGATTCACCTTGCTTAGTCAGTAGTTCCAAGTTAGGTTTGGAACTCAGCTCACTTAGTCTCATGTACTTTTCCCTGTGTGTAACAAATCTGTATCCTGAGGTGGAGCCCACACAGCTATGTTGTAATCAGGATATTCTATTCTATTCTATTCTATTCTATTCTATTCTATTCTATTCTATTCTATTCTATTCTATTCTATGTTTGTAAAGAAATAATTCGTTTTTGCACTCTTACAGCCATATAAAATGGAAAAAAAAAATCATAAAACAATTCAGGTTGCAACACACCTCTGCAATCTATCTCGTAAATTCCCCCACTAAAAGCAATTCCAAATTCCACTACTCTGAACTATATTATATATTCAGAATCATATAATGCACACAAATCTGCAGATTTTACCACACTGTTCAGTTCTTTAGGACTGTTTTAGGACAAATATATACACCACGAAGCACAGGATCCTGAAGCCTAGTATGCTCCTACATACTGCATAATTACTGCAAACACTCACCTAACAGCCATGAAGCGATATGAAATTCTGTGCTAAAACTGTGGCAGCTTCCTACAACCCCGACAGCCCACTCACAGGATGTGCCACGAAGTGAAAGTTGGGAATAACAGTCATTCTATTGATATACTGGTTTTAATAAAATAGTGTTATGATAACATTGTTAATAATGCAATATAGTAATAACAGTTGGGTTATAATGACTATTTAATACACATCCCTCTCAGGACATTATTTTTCAGTAGTAGTTGAACGCAGACCACTTCGGTGCAAATCAATGGCAGAATTTTTCCCTAACTCAAATATTAGCGCAGTCATGACCCCTCTCTTTCTATGTCCTACTTCTACCCTAAGAGTTCTCAACTACTCCATCCTCATCTGGAGGATGCTGATCACAAACCATTGTGATGCTCCCATTAGCTTCTTGAAACCATTGCAATTTCTACTCATAAACACAAATTCTACATAACTCCAACCAGCAAAATGTTATTCCAGCTTAGAGGATGACCAGTAGCAACAAAAAGGCATTGATCTCCTCTCAGACAAAGCTACCACAAGCTCAGTATGATCCTACACTGCCCTTATAGATCAGTTAGCTAAAATTTTCATTGTGAGAAACACCTAAGTGATGTGTATAGAAGTGGTTTTCAGTCACACTTTATAAATGGGCTGTTTCCTAACTCATTTCCCTTAACACTGTGGGTAGGAATTTCTCCTTAAATATCATCTGAAATTTCTTTTTATACCTTTTACAGACTCTTAGGAATAGTTTTAAAAATTTCTAATGATGACTAATAATAATAACAATAATAATAAAATGCCTGCAAAGATTTCAAGAAAAAAAAAGTTGGTTGTCAGGAAAGTTGATTTAGCAAGATAACCTTCATTCTACAGTCCCTATCAGAAGACTAGGGAAATAGAAGTAACGGTAACCTTAGATTTAAAATACATCTTATGCTTCAGAATAAAACCACACTGATTTATAAAGTAAATGGGTTGAATCCATAGCTACTTGAAACTGATTAGCTTCACTGATTTCAGTGAAGGTGCTGATGTGCAGATTTGAGTTCAGATCCTGCTGTGTATGTTGGGGGTTGGAAAGTGACACACATTCAGCACTGCACAAAGAATGTCATTGAAAACCACCACGTTAACAAGCACAGAAAGTGAAACATTATTACTGCACTTGGAGAAAAATGTGTAGAGTGGACAGAATGCAGATTTTAATCGTTAGTCAGACTGGTATGTATATCCCCCAAAAGATGCTCACAGCAGTCTTGTGAAAAGGCTCACAAGTATATCATACTGTTGTATTTTCTTCTTGGAAAAAGCAGGGGCAATATTTGCCAATTTCAGCAGATACACAGATATATTCTTCTATGTAAACAAGTACTCCACTTTCGTGAAGAAAAAGCTGACACCAAGGGTTGGTTTTAGACGAAAGGAAAAACTAACACCTCTACCAAAACTGATGCAACGCCTACTCTAATAAGAATCTGAACAATTATCTGTGACACAAACACGGAGGCTGCATTGTGCTGCCCTAGCACTGTTTGGAAAACAAACTCCAAGTCCCTTAAGAGTGTAGCTCCATAATTACTTACCCTGACCTTCCCAGGACAGTTCAGCACAGAAGATATACATGTAGGTGGCCTATACAGGAGTTAGCTACAGCTTCCTGATCCTCTGGCTGTCCAAGACTACAGCACCAAGACACTTCATCTGTCTTGGCATAGATGGCAAAAAAAATAAAAATAAAACAAACAAATAATAAATAAATAAATAAAGCCAGCTCTAATGACCCGTTACCAGAAGAGGATTTCCCCCAGTCCTTTTCTTGCAGCTAAGGTGAGCCTCCAAGCCCCCATGTAAGAAACTATTCAACTGCAGGTACAGACCACTCCTCACCACGTAGTCACTTCTATTTAAGGCTGATGGGTCAGATTTTTGAAATGCAAACCGACACAAATTATACAACCCAGCTGGAATAAATTCAAATCACTAGCAGAAATGCCCCAGACACAACTGTTATCTGATCCAAGATTCCTTAAGAAACTGGTGACAAGCATACACAGCAGTCTCCTTTCAGTCTGTCACTACCTGTGGCACCAGCAATCAGATGCACCTACGCATTTCTGCCACATAAGCAAGCAGATGGACTGTAACCTAGAAGAAAGCATACTGGGCCTGATTCTCCTTCCTCTTGCAACTAGTGAAAATCTGGAGCACTTCACAACATAAGGTGCAGAAAGCAGGAAAAGCAAACCTATTATAAGATGAAAATTACACTACATTTCCCACCCCTGAGTTAGGGCAGGAACAATACAACATCAGACATGTATCAATGTCTGATGTGATTAACCTTCTTCACAACACAGCAGATAGACTTTGCAGATGTGTCCCAGTCTAAGGACAGCATCTTAGCCAGCTTTTTTTCTGATCCTTTTCAGAAAGCTGTTCCAGCCAGCCCAAAGAAAACACAGGTAATGAAGGTATCTCCGCAAGCAAGAAAGGCAATGCATCTAGTCCCTGCTTTGTTTGGAGTCCTAGAGCAGAATGCTCAGATCTGCTTTGCTCAAGAAGTCAGATGACTCTTTGAGATTCCTTTGAAAAGTTCCCTCTCTCCCTGCACTGTTAAACTCAGATCCTGGCCTGCTCTTGGCCAGTTAGATCACCCTTACCCAATGCTACATCACTCTTAGGAGGTGGCTTCATTGTCAGCTCAGGCTCTTCTTTCCACTGTATGGGTAGATCAAAGCATACTACACCTCAGTCCAGTAACATTGTTCTGAGCTCAGCTCTGCATATGCAGACTGAGAACACCTTTAGCTTGAGCTAAAAACAGATGTACAACACACAATGCAGATAGCAAGCAATGAGGTTGAGGAATATTCATATTCAGCAGCAATTTCAAAAGACACTCAAGCAGCACAACTGGAGCAAGCACAAAACTGACATTAGGTGCAACCATACAGGTCTCTGGCCTCTGAAGAGCACTGCAGTCCCTGGGCCATCAGCTCTAAGGAACACAATGCCTTTGCAAGAAAGAGACTCTGGATTTAATTAGCCCAACTTCCTATTCCAAGAGAGACTGTCACCACCTACATATCAGGGCAGATGTATCTTCATCTACCAAGGTTTGAAAACATCTAGGGGTGATAATACCACTAGTTCTCTGCAGCCTGACCAGGGCTATGTCATCCCCTGGAGCAGTAGCTTGTCCTACAATCCCATCTAAACTCACAAGTCAGATCTTGGGATCATCCTCTCCTTCTTATAGCCCCCTGATACTACTGGGAAGAGTTTTGCTGCATCACCTGTTTGCACAGATACTCCATCTGGGTCTGTGACCATCAGCATAAAGCACAGAACACCACCATGCATTCATGCAACACTCCATGTGTAGCCACACAACGCTACACTGCGCAGCAGGAGGCCCACCATGCACCAGGGGATCTCCATCCACTCCTTCTACCACCACATTTTAAGAAAGTTAAGAGCTGATATACTTACGTCATTATCTGGGTCTCTATGCCAGAATCCACAAGGGATCCATCCACAAAAAGTGGTGTTGATGTGAAACCATATTTACTCCAAGATCTTCCCTCATCAAAACTCACCCTGGGATAAAAGCAGACAAGATTTATACATATAAAAAGACTTACTCCAGAGCAACTGCAGCAATTAAATGTTGGCTAAGGTTTGCAAGATCCAGCTGCTAGATTTACAGACAGGCACCAATCTTTGCCATCTCCTAGCCCACTAATTCATATTCTTAGTGTATTTTGAAAGATCAAAACCTTAGAAACTATAAACGTCAGCAATAAGGACATGGATATACTTGATCCAGCTGTACATCAGACCTCAAGGGATAAAGGGGCATTGCCAAATCCTGTTTCTGGATCAAGAGAGCACCTGGCATGAAGCAGTGCTCAGAACATAAGCAATCCAGCTCTGAATGCAAGAAAATTGCTGTCAATACCATAGGATATTTCAAACCACGTGGTTATCAATGCCATATGGCATTAGCTACAATCTTTCCACCCCTGTTAATACTTGTTTGCCATCCATCTCAGCAGCTGTTTGTTTTACAGAGAGGTGGAGGAAGGAGGCCAAACTGAGCCACAGTCAGTGGCTAGTCTGGTGTGCTTTGCCTGTTAGAGTTTTAAAGAAAAACTATGCACTGGTTAAAATTAAAGCATTACCCTTCTTAGAGCTAAAAAGTGTTCACACTGTCGGTGACAAGCCAGGGTAATTCAGTGGCTTTGGATCATCTGTCCCTACCTACAACCATCCCTGTCCCCACAAAGGTGCCTGGTACCTGGGCCCAGGGCTGCCTTGCTCCCCAGCTGGGCAACTGGGACAGGCCCCAGCTGTGAGGCCTTGCCCTGTTGTCCCCTTTCTCCTGTCTTCCCAGCCCCAGGGAGCTGCCAGCCCTCATGTCACCCTGACAAACTGCACCCAAGGGTGCAGAGAACAGGCAGAGGATGGCATGCACACCCAGCTGCCACTGCAGCAGGAAAGATGTGTAACCTCTGCAGTCAACCTGAGAGTCAGCATCAAGCTCCCAGAGCTGCTGCCCACCAACAACTCTAAGTGATAAAGTTTATCTCTGCCCACAGATTTCACACAAGTGCTCCCACATAATTTCCGACCAGAATTTCAGCTCCAAGTTCTACCACTGAAGGAAGAACAAACAGAGAAGCACAAAAGTTTCTTGGCTCTGAAATTATTTAATCCTCTCCCAGCAGGGTCATTTAAGAGTTCTCTCTAATTCTGTGAGGTACCTGGGATGTAAAAGCTGACATAACCCAAAAGGACATTACCAGAGAGACAATCATGGCATAAACTTGGTCTCTAAACAGCAGGAAGTACTTCTCATTTTAAACTGCGCTTAAAAGAGAGCTTTGACTTATTTTCCAGGCAAGGAAAGCTTGGGAGTGTGTGCATGTGTGTGTTCATGCATGTACACGTGCACCTGAGCAGCTGAATTTGCCCAAGGGTGTCCTGTTGGAAACTGAATCCTCCCCACTCCAAGTAGGTAGCATCAGGGACACAGAGATGACACCTAAGGACTAGCAAGCCAGTGCAATATGTATTACAAACAATGGGTTACAATAATCTGAGCTCTCTAATGGGAAAAGCCAAGGTCTGAATGCACCATTTCCTAAATATCTGCCTCTAGTAGTAGTGCCTAGGGAAACCTTCACCCGATTCACAATGCACATCTACCAGAAAAGGAAGCTGACTATGGACCAAAGACAGAAAGCTGGAAGAACAGCATACAGAAAGCTTATCTGCCCCAAATCTATTTATTTAAATGTATGTATCTTCCTGTACACCTGTGCATTTGTATGCTGTTCTGCTTGCATGCTTATCTATCTAAACAGCATTTCAATTTCTGGGGAACAGCATGCTTCATTAGGTTAGCTAAAGTTCTCTCAGCTTTTCAATTATCCACCCCTCTTTTCTCCAGGATGAAACTTATTGTACAATGTCTCTGCCTGAGAACTAATAGATATACACGTACCCTTTAATCTATTCCACTCCTGCCCATAAAACAGGTGCCTACTGAGACAATATGAAGCAAATTCCAAAGCCCCTAAGGGTACAATTTTGGAAGAAACCTGTTGGAGCTTATTGATAACAGCTCTAAATCACTCCTCGTTTAATGGAGTGGGTGGGTCGCTCATAGTACTGCACATGCTATTTCATGAGACTTGGTGGAAAGGGAGAATATCTGAAAGAAACCTTTCCAAAGCAGACAAAGGTGAACTGGGTTCTCAGCTCTTATGGAAAGTCAACCTGTGACCAAATCTTCCTGAAATCTAAGTACATGCACTTGGATATAGCGTATTGTTACGTCCAAAGAGCCTCCACAAGGAAAGACACAATTAAAACAGTTACACCTGGGTTAAAGAATATAGCCACAAATGGTTAATACTTGACTTACAGCTCTTTCAAAAACTGGCTCACCTTTCACTCTTCCAAAGCTCAACTTGCCACAGTCTGATGCACCTACTGCTGGTGACTCCTACCCTTGGCTAACACACACCTCTCCTGCTTTGGACCATACTTGGCTTGGTTTAAAGATATGGGCATGGTCCTCTTTCCTGTGGGAACTTCAGGTATGTTCATGACTACCAAGTTACCTAGCACAGGCAAATGTTTCTAAGTCACGCAAAAACACACTAACTCCAGGCAGAAAGATCCTAAGCAGGAAGTAGCTGGAGCATCATTATGGGTCTGCTCTGTTACTACTTTCCTGTATGTCCAAATTACAGGAGGCTGTTGACAGGAGGGCTGCAGCCTATACCGACCCCTGGCCCTGACTCAGTATGGCTATTCATACAGTATGACTGTAATAAAATCAGTTGTGATAAAATAAACCTAGAATCCTTTAGTAGACAGTAACATTTAGCAACATAACTCCACCATCCTTACCAGCATTTATTGCCCTCTTCTCTCCCTCCATTTATCTGTCTTACCAGATTAATACTACTACAAACAAAAAGCAGAAGCAAGGGACACCTCTTCTCAGAAATACCTGAAGCACAGACTGCTTCTTACTCAGTATATATGTATCTGCTAGCAGAAAGAAACCCCACCCGAAGAATTGTAGTACATTACTAGTGCAAAAAATACTTCATAAATGTAACTATGTATATAAATGTAACTATGTATATAGCCATTATATTTTTATGACAGTGCAATAATCACTGTGTTAATTACCAGAAACAAAGAAAATGTAAAATGCAGAAAAGAATGATCTCATTTGCTCATCTTGTAGACACTAGAAAATGTTTACCAGGTGACACAAGGTATTAGCACTGCTGTCAGCTTACCCTCTTCAGGAAAGCTTCTCAAAGTAACGAGTTTCCTTACCACAAGTGCCTGATGGGCACTGACGTTTGTTTCAGGGCCACTAATGCCCCTCCCCAGTCCAGAAACCACACATTGTATTCCTCCTCGAAGATCTGCAAGCAAAACAAGCACCGCATGAATGCTCTACTCCACTGGAAAAGGAAGGCTAAGAGAAGGAATAGGAGTAAAATGTTGCGTGCTTTCCTGCTCTCTGCAAAACATACCTGTCTCCAGGAATTTCCACCATCAGAAGAGATGAACATGCCAATATCAGTGTAGGAAAGCTCAGAGCCAATATTACCTGAAACAAAAGTAAGGGGCAGAAGTTCTTGTGTGAACACGGAAATTTTTCCAGGAAAAGTACTTGGTCTGACCAGTTCTTTTTTGCTGTTCTTAATTCTATACTTACCTAAAAACAACACCACAGTTAGGTGTCCAGATTCATTTACAAGAGTTGTGCAAACATGAAACCAGTATCAATTTGAAAATTGACACTGATGAGAAACAGAATTACCAGCTTACTTTCCCAACAAACTGCATTGCTCATAATCGTAACCCACTAAAGGCAGGCTTATTCTAGATCTACACATTTGAAAAACTGCATGGGAAACCATATATCCGTTTGGCTCACACAAATCATCAAAACTGCAGCAGAATAATGGCCACTGTCCCTCGCCACTAGATACTCCATTGTGCACATGTCTTTCTCTGAACTTTCAGTCATCATGCTCTGGCTGGCAAGTTGGATCTCTGTGATCTGCCAGTCTTTGTCATGAGTAATTACTTCTGTCTCTACTTGTCATGTAAAGGAGAATATCCAAAGGCAAGTTACTTGCACAACCCAGTTTAAAGGTGAAACCCAGGCACCAATGAAGCTCATGATTAGACTAGAAAGCCTATTTGAGATTCTGTCAAAATGTTCAAAAACTTTGCAGATCTCAGAACCTGCAGTCTAACAAGCAAAGCTTCTTCCTGAGTCTACTAATTTTGGAATTAACAAGGACTGTGATGTAATGAAATATTAGCTCTCTTCAAAGGAATCTTGTTTAGATCTGAAACTCATCTGGGGACAGAAGCAGTGCAGACAATTAAGTTGGGTCGAATGACTTAGCAGAGAGGTAGAGACCATATTGAGCATAATTCGAGACAATATTGATTATTCTCATTGACCTAACAAATTGTGAGCCTCAACTTATAGCCCTTTTGAATGAACTACTCTGCCTTCACCATGTGTTAGAAAATAGATATGCCACACATCAAAGCAGTGCAAAGTTCATACATCAACTTGAACTCTATATACAAACAGCACAGCAAAACACCATTTGGAGACACCACCTCAGAGCTTGAAACAGCTTGCAAAGGTCCCTCATCTGAGACAGCAGACAGAGCAGTGATACATCTTAATCATGTAATCATGAGTTTGTACTAAATCCCCAGCTCTCTAGAACCAATCTGAGCATACAGCAATAGTATCAAGAGTGACCTCCTGTACCTGAAAAACTTGCAAATGTTTTGAGCAGACCTTGTTAGCTTACTCCCCATGTAACCCTGAGGTCAGCATCTTGCTTCTGTTTCCAAAGCTAAAATGCCTACAAGCACCAGGTTCACTGAACAGTATAGGTCTGTCCTAAGCTAATTAACTCTGACTTCCCTGCTTCCCAAAGCACCTAATGGCTTAGGAAAAAGCTACCTGTTTTTCCTGCTGGTCTGTCAACAATACCTTCAATCAGTGCTAGGTGGGATTCTGGTGGTATGAAAGTCTGTCCCATAAGAAGCAGGCAGAGGTAGCACTGACATACTCCATCATAGGATCTCCCAGTGATAATGGCCCACAACCACTATATTGCTGCTGAGCCTGTGATTCCTTTATTCCAAGTCCATTTTTTACACAGTGAGCCACTTTTACACCTTCTGAGTAAGATTATTTTTAAAACGGGTGTAATTTCCACGGAAGGAGGGAGAACTAATATTTTTTCTTCAAAAAAAATCAAAGGAAGAGGTGACACTCTTACACATCTGTAGCATCAACAAGAACATAATAAAAACACCCCAATGAAAATGTTAATTGAATTTCTGACATTTAATGCTGGAAAATGAGAAATTAAAACCCAGATGGAAGTTGACACACTCCTGTCAGCATTATGGAATAGAACTAGGCACATTGTTGTGACAACTTTTTTTCCAAAAATAAAACATCTGGCTCAGGGATGCACGACGGCTCAATAAAGACTTCTCCATCAGTGTTCAGGATATAGAAACACCACATTGTCCACCTAGCTAATCTTCCTTCCCTCACACCAGCAAGAATAACAAAACTGTTTTAGAGGAAGGTACGAAGAAATCCCACCTGTTTTTCTGTGTAAAGCTGTTCCAAGATTTTCTTCGTTCTTTCCACCTAAGATTCATTCAGGTATAAGGATTCAAACCAACACCAAATATACTAACTCCCAAGCAAGTGAAGAGGATTTTGATATTAAAATATAGTTCTTCCATTAGCAAGAATCTAACCTCTGCCCTCCTATTAAGTCTGAGCTTCACTTTGTTGCTAGAAATGCACCACTTTAAATCAAAGAGCAAGATCGCTCAGCAGAGGTTTTGAGTGGCCCATGCCTGTGAGAATAAGTTGTAATGCTTACCCTGGAACACATTTGCCAACATGGTGAGACACTCCTGTTGTTGTGAAACTGGTTAGTGGAAACAGATGTGTATATTCCCAACAGGTTAAGCTTTTTATTGTACAAAGCAATAACGCAGAAATGATATTCTGCCTCTTAAAGGTTAATTGTTAGACTGGGAAAGCATTCATCCCATGCACTGGCAGCTTGAAAAGAACCTCATTTACTAACAATTTAGATCAATGCCTAGAATCTCACTGTCCTGCTGCCTCTGCTTCCTAAAAGGTTAAAGAAAAAAGTCTCTGAAATCACAGCATCATGGCTAGGGCTTGCTCCTACACATCCGTCTAGCAAGTGTGACCTGCCAGGAGTGATGACTCCACTTGGCTAAGCATAAGAAGATCTGGAGGTTTAAACCAAATTATCTCGCCCTGTTTGGCCTGGATCAGTGAACTGGAAATCACACAGTGTTTCCCTTGTTGAGCTATAAATGTCATAAGGGGAACCTGTGTTTCAGGTTCTGCCTTAGTCAGGCAGACACATGGAAGTACAGAAGAGCATGAGAATGGAAATGGCTGGGAGAAACGGTGCAAATTTATAAAGGCAGTGTGCTAACATGACACAATTGCAAGCCACTTGAATTAAAGAATTAAGAATTAAACTGCCAGAGAGAACTAGAGTTAAAATGAGCCTTGGAAAGAATGGTTAAGCTACTTGAACGTATTTGAACGTATGTAGGAGCCTCTCTGTGAAAAGGCACCCTCTGCTTCAGAGATCAGCTTTCAATAGCACCGGCCATTCAGAAAGCACTTTGTTGTCCCAGAAGCTCCCATAGAGCTGTGGGAGCTCAGACTACGGGTGGTAGCTCTATCCATCCTGATTAGGTTGCATGCTGTGTGCAGGCAATGGAGGACAAAAGCATCTGTGACGGTTGTCAAATTAATTACAGTGGGTCATCCACTGCCACTGTGCCAGTATTGTAGCAGCTTGTCATGAAAACATTGCAACCTGCCAAAACACCATTTTGCAGAATGTCCCACAGCACTGATGACCCATGCAGTCATGATGAAGTGCTGCCAGTCTTGGAGCAACACAGTGTAGAAAGCAGGTACCATGCACAAGATAGTCATTCATGAAGTCCAGGCTTCACCCAACAGGCTTGTTAAAACTCTGTTGCTCAAAAGGTGGAACATACCGATACTGCCTGGGAGCATAGCCATGAATACAGACTTATTCTCATTCATGATAACTCCAGCAAATTTGTAGACCTGTATCAGTGGTTGCAATGACGTCAAGAGAGAGGAGTTAATAATGCATGTTGGTAATGATCCCACGCACATTTGGGCTCAAACCTGCAGATGGGTTATTGCATAGCAACAAACACCTGGCAGACATTGTTTTTTGAAGAGACCACATGCCTTCTCCCAGTCCATAGCACATGAGAGTTAATTAGCTTAGCACTTTGTGAAACAGAACTGAAGACTTTTACACTAACAGAAAACATTTCACACACACTCAGGCTACAGGTGAAGTATGGGTGAGTGCTGCGAAGCACTTAGGTTCTTACCTGTTGCCACCAGCAGTCCAGGGGCTGTCTCCTTGCTAGAAATGCTTCCTGAAGTATATGGATTCTCTGAGAGTTGCAGGTGTAAGTGCAATGAGCAAAAGGGCTGTTGACAGGAAATAAATAAAAGGCAGAAGTTTCAATACACAGTAAGTCAAGTAACAGAGGAGTCCTTGGTGATTGCAGACAGATGCTCTGATCCTTCTGAAAACGACCCCTCTCCTTTTAACACTGTTGCAAATAGAACCATATATTCAGTTTCTGAATAAGCAATATAAAAATAGCTGAGAGCAGGAGAAACAGAAATGCTGCATTACAAGAGATCGTATCTGCATTTGTTTTTACCAACAATATGATCTAGAGCACTTCCCCTTAGTAACTTTCATATTCTGATGTAAGTTCAATAAAAAAGGTCAAGCAAGATGGTAAGAATTTTCTTTTTGCATAGCTTCGTAGATTTTAAAGGAAATCTACTCAACTTGCTTAACACCTAGCAAGTCTGGAGAAAAAAATCGGGGAAAAAGTAACCAGTAAAAGTTCAGGGGAACACCGCTCTTTTGAAACACGGGCTACAGACTACTGTAAAATGCCTGTTCACTGAATGTTGTTGAATTATGTTGCAAGCCCAACCTAACATTCTTATCCATAAACTGTGCTCCATTTTGAAGCACCTGATTTTGCAAATCTCTGGCAAGAATCCTTCCTACCCACCCTTATGTGAAGTTCTGTCAACCCGGAGAGTAATGTAAGACACTAAAGGAGTCGATTGTGCTTTAGAAAGGTCTGCCACTCACCAGCTGGCAAACTACAGGATCCCCTCTTAGATTGGTGGCCGGTGCCTGCAACAAACGCCAGTCTCTGCCCTTGTTGTAGGTAATGAAAGTCTTGATTTGGTCATCTATCTTTTTGTTAGCCAGGAATATGCCTTTGATCCCTGCTACCTAGGAAAAATGGAGAGAGATGAAAAAAATACATCGGAAAAACAAGCCAAAGGAAAGGCCCGTCTGAGCACTCTCAGCAGTGGAAGCTCTCAGCAAAAACAACAGTCATCTCAGTCCCGCCTTAGAAGACTGTGAATGGCGTTACAAATACACCATGATGCTGCCTGCACAACTGCAAGGCCTTGTGCAGTCCCTGTCTCTCTAAGGGAAAGACAAGGATGTTCACAGAGCAAATCCCTAGCAAACAGCCCAATTCTAGATTTTCCTGAGCGGTTGCAGACAGGCCCGTCATGGCCTTGCAGGGACAGCATGCACATTTAGCTTTATAAGCCCAGGGATGTGGTCTGCCCCACTCCCTTCCCAGATTTCTGTAACACAGGAAACAGCAGGTTACGCCAGAAGCAGCATGGAATCTTTTTGTTTTGGTCTTTTTCTTCTTTTACGCAAAAGATAGAAATCCTGAATACGCTGAAACATCGATGTTTTGCAAACTTGATTTCTTCACGCTCCTCCATTCCCAAATTCTGTCAAAATCAACCCAGTTGTTCCAAATGTTTTGATTTTTGTCAGCAGAACCAATTCCAACAGAATATGGTCCTGCCAAAATGTCCCCAAGCAGATTTCATGTTTAATCTGGTCTCTGTTGCACAGCTGTCAAAGTGAGACAGGAGGAAGGAACTTGCGGCAGATCTGGAACTTCCAGGCAACAGCCAGGATGAAAATCCTTCTGGTTCTAAAGTTCCCTGAGTGACACTACCCTTTGAATGATCCCATGAAAATCTCTATTGGCATTTAACAGCAAAGGTTGATACACAGCTGCAGAGCACAGACTTTGCCCAGGAATTGGAAATAAAGCATGTTTACTTCAGCTGGTTCATCATAATACAGATTTAATTATTTTTTTCAGAGGCAGGTAAATATATTTAAGGAAATGGAAGTAAAATGTAAAGCCTGTTCTTCATATTGATCCATGTGTTATTTGTGAGTTTTCTCTCACTGCCTTAAACCACCTGGATTTTTATAAACAAATTGATGATGTTGTTAAATTGTCATTATTCAGGCTGAAATAAATGTATAACTCTGACTTCTATATGAAACTGGAAACATATTTATTTGTGTTATAGTACAACTTCCCCATGTCAGTCTGCAGCCACTATTAGTATTATCAAGTACGTAATATTGCTGTTTCTTCCTGGCAAAGTGCTGAGCCCTGAGCCTCAGCACTTCACCTTCCAGGCAACAAGATATCAACCCACCAAAGCCAGAATGCTTTGAAGAAACCAGGAACTGGAACAACTACTACTGTTCTTGGTCAAGGCTGAAAAGGCTAGCAGAAGCAGAAGAACAGAAGATGACAAAGGGTAGAAGCTTTCCATTTGCATTTGTCATTTCTGGGCAAATGACACCTATGAATTTTTGCTTACAATTTATGAACTGTTCAACGCTTACAAAGGTGGAATTCATATTCCCTGTCTATGAGTAGGTATCTCTAGATGTCCAAGAGGAAACCCCCTATTTCTAGACCTTCTTTACACACATCTACATTAGAACAAGAGAGATAACTGTTTTCCCTTTTGGAAATGTCACATATCATAACTAGTCATTGACTTGAAAACAACCAGGTATCACACCAGTAGCAGAATGCTCTATATCTATCCCTACATGAGTCTGCTTAGCATCAAATCCAGTAAATGCCTCTCGGCCAATCCCAAAACAAATGGAGATCTTGCAGTCCAGGTAAGAGATTTACACTTGCCTGAACTAGCAAGCAGTGGCTGTTCTTGTAGGGTGACCTTTACTACATACCTCATAAAGGTCTATGATGATATTCCCTTCCAGTCCTCTACTGCTTTTCACATTTTCCAAGGCCAGGGTGAAGTAAACCCCTCGGGTGTCTGAGATATACAGGTTGTATGTGTCGTTCTGGTTCCACTCTTGAACAGCTGCAAACACCTGATTCTCAACTGTGCTGATAATATGCATGTCCTGTTAAAAGAAGACAAAAGGCCTATTACTAGGATCTCTATATTTCTTCGCCCTTTGGGACATGTAGTAATTACCATGACTTATGAAAGAATGGAGATGGAGCATGAATTATAGGTATGTTAAACAATTTTCTGTTAGAGCGAGCCAATAAATTACCACCATTGTGACTTTTCTGCATTTCTATCTTTTAATGGCCACCAGCTGGGCAAAGCATTTTTGCTTTCTTCATTTTTGGTAGCTTCAAGGAATTTCATCCAGCTTCATTTTTTATTTATAAATTTGAAAGCGAGTTTTATCACTCATGGAAGATTCACAGCCTTGAAGCCTGGAGTCTTCTCATAGTCACTAGCTCTGGTGTAGCACCAGGCTAAACGAGAGACAATTTCCATTCACATGCTGAACTAAGAGGCTGTGCTTCCGACAGGTAAATGACCCGTTTCAAGAAACAAGAAGTGAGTTCACGTATTTTTAAAGCTGAGGCATAAAGAATAGTTTGAGCTAATGATAGTAGTGGTTTTTAATAAGGCACTTTTCTATTAACAGTTTGTTCAATACAGGCTATCAAATAATCCACCCACCAACCTTTGCCGGAATCCTGTTGGTGACAAAGACATGAAGGTTGAGCAAGGGTTTTTCTCCATTTAATTTTCATATCAGAGAGATTTGACAGTGCATTTCCTCAGTATTTGCTTAAAGCAGGTTCATGACCTGGAAATGATTTCTAGGGTAGTGATGTGTATTGAAGCACTTCATCCTTGCCACCCTTGTTGAACAAACTTTGGATCAACTATAAGCAAAAGCACTGCAGTTATGTGGGTCTTTATTTATCTTTTTACCCATTCAAAGTTTTCCCAAGATACCAAGGAGCCTTCACCAATTTCTTGCACTATTTCTGCATCAAGAAACCTTACTTCTGGAAGTCTCCCAAAGGACAGAGAGACTCATTTGGGTCTCTCTGTCTAGGAGTGTCTGGGAGAAAATCACCTTAACATTCCTATCCTGCCTAGGAGGTAACCTACATGTAACTTTCCGTGTGAGTTATCTAGGCAGAAAATAGGGGTAGAGTAGATAGGAGACTTAACATAGCCTATGGAATGTGGAGTAAAAATGTTTTTTCCCCACTAAGTGCAGCCTGTGGGAGATTTGCCATTTCTATCAATGAAAGGAGACTAAACCAGAATGTTTGGTTCCTGCCCAACAGCTCTAATTCTTTGAAGATTAAGCACATACCCAACCTAGTCCAACAGTGTGACAATAAAGCAAATCACCCAATGACTTCAATCTGTTTTAACCAGTTGCAGTGAAAATATTGCATTACTCTATTGCCAGCCTCACATATGTACAACTCCAGCAGAATTCATTAATGTACAGCTGACAGGATAGTTATTACTGTACAGCAAAAATGTTCTGTTAACTAAGGACAACATAAACAAGCCTTTATATGGCTAAAAGACTTTGCCAAGAAACTTTAAAGCAAAGTAGATTTTTGTTTGTTTGTTTTTATGACAAAAGCAATCCTGATTTTATACTATGCACCAGCTCCAAACCAGGGCCACTAACAAAACATAGCAAGCCAGCAACCTACAACATCATCAGTCAATCAAGGAGGACAATCATAGGGCACCCCTTCTCTCTATCCACTTGTCTCCATCACTTGAATGATGGGCAGCTTTCAGTGCTTCATAAGCAGTACAAAAAGTACTGCTTTTTTCCTGAAAAATGACAGCAGTGTTTCTCAAAAGTCTGTGCACTGACATTGTGAATCCCACACCACAGAAGGACAACAAACAAAACCAAAACTGTATCTGTGCTACTCAAGTGTCAATGCACTGTGAACTGTCATCAACCCAAATATGAAGAAACTGAGGTGCAACGCCAGGAATTCAAGACAGATTTCTCACAACTATTTAAAGTTTGCAGCTACAACTTAAGGCAAGCATCCCATATCTGCTAGACTGTAGATACGCCACAGGCGATCAGAAAGCTATATGCAGCCAACCATGCAAATCTGCCCAACAATTTTAAAATTATCCCACAAAAATTCTCACTTGTGGAAAGAAGTAAAGGGGAAGGCCACTACTGCTGATTATCAGTCCCATACAACAGCAGCCTCAGTACCCATTCTGTGGCTACAAAGAGCAGGAGCAGTCTGAGCTGCTCATCAGGCTACCCAGGAACCTGTATCCAGCCAAGGCACTGTAAAGGTTGGTCCCTTCTGTTCTGTACAATCCTAAACAATGACTGCACTAGGGAATTTTAGCCTAATACTTAAGCAGCATCATGCAGTGGTTCTGTTTGTCCAAAGCATCACCAAGGTACGACTTCTAGGGAGCTATCTCCACCTCCATGGCTTGTTGACAATGTCCAGCCATAAGATGGAGACAGTGGAGATGACATATCCCATGCTTCTCTCACTGTATGGAGACTGCAGGAGCGCTCAGCATTGTAAGCATTCTCCAGAACCTCTGCTGTCATGGCAAGGCTTATCAGAGAAATATTCAGTAGAGAACAGAACAAGACTGGGCAAAAGTTTTACATAGCAGACCCATCAAGGATGTGAGGAACAATCTGCAGCCAGTAACACAGGCTCAGGCAAGGATCTCAGTGAAGTATCATTTTTATTTGGTTGGTTCTATGTTTTCTGAGGTACTTGTTCATTCCCATTTGTTCTTTACAGAGGAAAAAGGAGCCTGGTCTTTCTCTGCTCACTGATCAAAAGCAGTGAGAGATACAGATCCCAACCTCATATTTAAGAAAGATCATTCAGGTAGCACAACAAATGTAGCTCCCCACAGAGGAACTCCACTGAGGTGCTTTACCACTGGGCAGGCTGTATTATTCAAGATACTATATACCGGTGTTCATAAATGGTGCACTCACCTTAGGAAGAGAGTATTTGGGCAATTTAATCTGCGCAAAAGGCTCCCGTCTGTATGACACATAGTAATTTGCTCTTCCACCAGTTGTCACCTGTGGAAATATCAAAGAAAGTGAGTGATGTCCCTTTTGAGACATCCTATGCTGACATTTTTAAGAGGGTTTGATAACTTTTTTTTTCCAGATATCTTTTCTGTGACCTGCAGAAAAAAAAAGCCTCTGTGTAACTCCATCAAAGAAATCCCAGACTTAGGAGGGCTGGAGCATTATTTACTTAAGCTGTGCTATTGTACTCTCCACTCTGTCTCTAATGCTTCAATTCCAGCATGATTTTAACATCAGGTATCTCATAAAAAGGGAAGAAGTGAGTACAAAGTGGAATAAAGAAGAAGATCTGGTTTTCACCACACCATTCCAACACAACTACCTTGGACAAGTAATTTAAAGTCTCTGTGCTTCCGTTTCTCTTCCATAAGAAGGAGATAACCTCCTTTTCTCTGCTGCTTCACAGCTTTGCTTGTTTACATCTTGGAGCCACAATTGTCTTCCAACAACCTTTTGCAGTGACTAACATGAGAGGAGCACACTAGCATTATTTAATGCAAACAGTAAATACAATGAGCTTTCTCTTGGAAAGCTGGAGCTAAGCTCTTAGGTGCTCTTTGTCACTATTAAGCTAGTTTCCTTGAAATCATAACATCTCTGAATGAGGGTGTGGGGATAACTGCTACACATCCAAATCTGTGCTTTTATGGAGCAAATGAGCTGTAAAGACTGCATATAAATGCCACACATCGATTAGATCTACACCTGATAATTTGCAGTATATGGGATTTCGAACCTGTCACTAGTCTTAGTCTTGCTGTGGGTGTTCTTTCTGGCACCATTTCAGGCTTGGCTACAATGAGGCTTACAAAGTTGAATTTCCTATATTCTGCTGTTTTGGCAAGCTTGCAGGTTTGGAGATAGAACAATACATACAGCATTTCTCTATTATATGGATTTGTTGGCTTAAGTTTCCAATAAAGCTAACAGAAAGGTCCTAGATTCTCTCCTAGATATACTCCCTTTTATCTGACAGCGATATTTCAGAACAAGCTTACAAGTAATATTGCTATAACATCAATTATATTCTCAGTAATGATACCACCTCTAGATGGTAGCATTCTTCCCTAGAGAAGCTGTCATTTGAAGGACATGACATTAGCGGTCATGAAATTTGATATCTAATCAACTCAAGATAAGGCTTTTCTATTGACAGCTTGAAGAACTGGGAAGAAAGGAAGGGTTAGAAATAGAACAGGCTTCTACACTAAGACTTTCTGCTTGTTTGGCATTTTTACTTGTAATGATATTATAGTAGTATTTAGTGCTCACTAAATAAAATAAATTAAAAAAAAAAAAACATTATACACCACATAAGAAGGCAGAAAACTAGCCCAAATCGTAGTGAGCTGAAACTGTACAGACAACGTATAGCTAAGTCGAGGGGAAACAGACACAAAAACCACGCGTAATTTGCTTACAGTCTCAAAACAAGCCAGTGGCAGAGACAGAGAAACAAGACTCACTTGACTCACTCGAGGCAAAGCTCTCTGTACACTGGCCCAGTAGCATTTCTGGGCCCTGCTCTTCAGGTGCAAGGATGGTGAAAGGGCTGTGAGTGTTATTTCGGAAGGATATCTTTCCCATCTAATACTACCACTATCAAAATCAAGTTTTCACAGCAGAGGACAGACTAAGCAGTTGATACAGTCAGACCAACTCAAAAGCAAAAAATCATTTTTTCAGTAATTGTATCGATCAACTGTAAAAACAATGCCCAAAGTATCCCTCACTTCTAGGTCATGCTACATGAACAACACAAGTGATATTTAAATATTCCTTATTTTCTTGGTGGTATTTCTGACCTCCATTGGAAGAGCCAAATTCTCAACTGGTATAACTCTGCCACATACGTGTACACTCATTTTACACCATTCATGATTTCAACGTCAGGTCATTATTTGTAGCAGAGTACAGATTTAATTACTGTGTCCGGTGACTACTTGGCTAGGTCCCTCGGCACCTCTTCTGATGGACTGAGACATGGGTATTTACTTTTCTTTAAAATAAGAAAATTTACATACTTCATAGGGATGCTGTGATGATTAATTAACACAGGAAACAGTCCACAATCTTCAAGCTACTCATATGAAAATATGGCAGAAGAAATATCAACAGGTGACCAATTCCCCCCATGCCAAGTTCTATTCTAAGTCTGTCACACACAAAAGATTTTACATAGTTAAAAAAATTATGCCACTGCAAAACTTAACTGTTTTTTTCTTCTTCTTATGACAGAAGGGTGAAATTATAACATGAGTCAAGTTCACTGTGCATTAGATGAACTCCCTTTCAGTCCTCTACCTGGCACTAGATCACCTTGGCAAAGGTTTAGAAGCAAAAGTCTTTGTGTCCTGTGGTCTTTCTGAGCCAGTTAGTTTGAAGCCACCCACAAATTCTGTTGGCAAGAGTTGTGTGAAGCTTATCTCAGCCAGGACCTCATCTTGCATGATTTACACATCCGTGGTTATAACTGTTCTAAAAATAATGATCAAGCCTTCTATAAAGTTTTGGCAAGCACTGTGGTACAGAATGAATTTTGGAAGGCCCAACTTAATTTATTTTGATGAACTTTTCTTTTTCCTATGAGCAAACTCTCCAACATTGTAAATCCCAGAGATTATGATACTGTTTTCCCTGCTAATGCCTCCTTTTAGTTCACATTTGATGACTGTCACCCAATTATTTGCTGTGAGCTCATCTGTCATGTTCAGTACAGAATTAGCTGGGTTTGTCTTTTTTCCTCCTCCTTTACTAATGACTGGCTTGTTAATCTGTTTTTCTGGATTTCTATTTTATGTGTTTAACTGGGCTTCTGGCCCATGGAAATGATTCATTTGGACGAATGTGTTTGCCATTAAACACATTTGTCTTTCCTAACCTATGTTTTCTTCCTGCCTCCACTCATAATCCACTACTCTTCTTTAATACTTGCATTATTATTTTTTTTTTTTACAAGATGAAAATCTGGTCTCACATCAATCAACACGTAAAGAAACATGAGAAGTTTCCCTTTAAAAGCCCTGAGAGTTTCAATATGCTAGTTCATCACCCATGCTGACCTACAAAAGGACAGATTACATCAAACATAGAAGACAACAGAAGTATTTTCATAAGGCTGTGGAAATTGTAAAGAATATATAAAGGAATCCATTCATCTCCATCATTTCTGAGACATGCCTAGAAACACATGATTCTTTAAGAGCAGGATTGGGTTTTGTTTAACCAGAAAGAAAACAAAAACAAAAACAAAAACCACAAATCTATCATTCAAATGAGATCAAAAGGCAAACAGGAGGAGTTATAAGGAGTTACGATGTCCCAGAACGTACAGACACCCATAATGATGGCAGAAACTGCAGATCACAGTGTATCAGGCTTCAATCTCATCTTCCTGGCTAACTGATGTTGGCATCCATAATTCCTGATGTAAATCGTGTATTGCTGTAACCAACACAGAACTACTAAATCTCCAAAATGACTCTTGGCTAAGCAAGACTTCAGCTGCCTCCTGCTGCTCAAAGACCCCACAGAAAGGCTAAAGGTACTCGTGTTGATGCAGCCTCTCATCAGCCTTGGTGGAAACACAATGACAGCGTGCAGTTAGCACATGATTTCTAAGCTAATGGCTGAAAGAGAACAGAGGACTTTCCTACATTGATTCTCAGCCTGGGTGGTTTACAAGGATAACAACCACTTGCCTTGCACAGTTACTGGAACAGGACATCTACTTTTCACATTGTTGATAACGTTCAAAGGAAAAGAGAATTGGTAATAGCACAGCTCAACCCACAATCATTAGACATGTTTAGACTTTGTAATTCCTGTAATTTACCTCCCACTTCAAGCATTGTAAATGGCAACTCAGTCAGTTTACAGAACCAAATGTAAAATTTCCTTATTGACAGTATGTCTTTGGATGTTATTTCCAATAAACTCCCTACTTTTTGAAGAGATAGGCTTCCTTTGCTTGTCAAGTTCCCTCCTTCCCAGTAACATGAAATGAGTTGGTAGGAGTGAAAACTTGAGAAACACTACATCAGTAATGTAATGACACCCTTGATTTGTGTTTTACACCTCCACAGAGTGCCGTGGCATCCTTCCTCACTGTTTTAACCTTAGTTACTCTTTCTTCTTCTCGAGGGCATAGCATTCCCTAAATCAATTTGTGGATTTAAGCATGGAGCAATTATGACATTAGGCAGACAAGATTGCTCCTTAGCAAGTGAATTTGCTGTTTTTCAGAGCTGGCTGCTGTCTGAGCCTCATACAGGTTTGCCAGCATGAGGACTGAAAAGTCGTGTCTCCTCTCCCAAGCTTAAGCCTGTTGTCAGTCACAAGAGATTCAGGAGATACAGTGAGCTGGTCAGAGGAAGAATCCATGTGCATTACCCTAATGTAATGTTCTTCTTTCTTGATTTCTCAGCATGGCCAGGACAATCACCTTTCAGATATTTCTGTGTACTGAGGTTCTCCAATGCCCTAACATAAACCACACCATCTAGGCTGAATTATCTCCCTGTGGCTTTTGTTAAAGTCACCCCTTTTGCACATTCATTAAGGCAATACACAATGACAATGACCTGAACATGAGGAGATAGGACTCTATGCTGCAGAGACATGCATTAGTGCTTCCATGGGCTAAGCACCCTCAAGCTGCCTGCTAAATTCAGTAGGCTTTGAAAGCATGCCACATTTTAGAGTGTCAGACCCATCACTGAAAATTCGCTAAGACAAAGCTGCATTTATTTTACTGTCCCTGTTCACTTCTGTCAGAGCTATGACGGCAAAGCAATAGGATGGAGTAATCTTGAGAGAAAATACTAGATTTGTTTTAAAAGCATCTCCTGCAGAAAATGTGCAGTTACACCAAAATATAAGCCATGTTAGAGCTGCAAATGCATACTACCCATACAGAAACCAACTTAAGAGAGGTGGATAATTATACACATTAAATCTCATGAGGGATTTCAGAGGAAACATATGAG